ACTTGAAACTGATTTGCTGTTTCAACATGCATTTGTATATTGATAACACATGTGTGGCACATTTCCAAGGAAATAGCCACATGTTTCAGCTTTAATCTTCTACAGAACACCTGTGGCACATTTCCAGGGATATTGTCACATGTTTCAGCCTCCATGCATGAAGCACCCACAAGTGGACCCTGATCTCCCAGATGCCTCCACGGGTATATAAAGAGCCCTATGTCCCCCCAAATAAGGTATCCTCAGATTATTACAACCCACTTTAGATTACCCACCGTCCCAAATGCTTAACATTTGTATCTGTCTGGTAATTTATTGTCTCTTGCTTTAATTCTCTGTCTATATTAGAACCTCAAGACTTAAGGGGCTTTATTAGTACATAATGCCCCCTTCTTTCTTGAGATTCTTACTACTTTCTTCTGGGATTTAAACCACCCCTGTTAAACAGGCCCCAGTGTTAACAGGTACCTAAATCCTCTGCTTTTGCACTATACCTTAGAGGGAACTAAACCACCCCTGATTTATCAGGCCCCTCTGTTTAAATTATATCAATATTTATTGATATAATTATTCATTTCTACTATCTCATAACCTTGTAATTACCACTCATTGTTGGAATTACACACCGGACTCTTTAGTCCAGAGTTCAAACTCTAACATCTTAAGTCTTTGCACCACGTGTAGCTAGAAGGGATACTCCTTGGCATCACAGCGGCTGACAGCAATCAGTTCTACTTCTCTGGTGTTCAATTATTTGGTCTGGAGCGACGACATGAGATGGAAGAAAGAACTTAGCAGTCACTTGCCAAAGATGAGTCCAACAGTCACAAAAGGATATCGATCGGCTTTGATAATGTTGCATCTCAGTCAGAATTGTGTGCAGGAGGCTACAGCTATATTAAAGGTTCCTGTTTGCTTGAAGTATCAGGGAAGTAGAATGTGATTGATCTTGCTGGGGTGTATTTCATCAAACAGGAACAAAAACAGATTGAGACATACCTTCATGCTATCAGCAAACAGCTCGGAGGTGCCTTGTCCAGCCTGGAACAGTCGGAGCAGGTCAAAATGTTCTATATTTTCATATCCCACAGCAGCAAAAAAAAGAAGATAAGGCCAAGTTATAGACCTCCTGGAACGATTGGTTTGGCTCCTCAGGCCTTACATTTTTGTATTCAGGACATCAACAGGAAGCTTGAGGATAGTTCACTAGGCCATCACTCGCGCTGGGCACTTGATAGCAAGCCATCGATTTTGCAAAAGAACAGTTCAGAAGGCTTCCAGTGTTGTCGCAAGGTTGCAAGAGATTCATTTGCTATAGTCCTCCTTGATTGCTTGAAGGAACAGGACAGAAAAAAGAGACCTGACTTGAATAGAGTTTTTTCAAACAGAAGCAGCAAAATACCAATCGTTCACTCAACTTTATCACCCAAAAGCGTTGAAGTGTTGTGGCAAGCTTGGAGAAGTGAAGGAATTCAAAGGATCACTGAAGCTTTTGATTGATTGGAAAGAAAAAAGGTACATAGCAAATCATTCGACCCTGGTATTTGACAAATGCTAGGCTTCATCAATAGTAGACCAGCGAGCTTGACTGCAGTAAGCAGCTTTTGAGGTGAAGATATTGTAACCTGCCATTGCAACTAGACTTCCACAATAGGAAGAACATCGAACTCCGATACTCCCATTGGCAAGCAGTTGTCATTGCTACAGGTCAACAAGAAGTTCTGTGATTAGTGTTCATGGTATTGAAGGAGGAGGCTTCCACCATGTTTCATCAATGGTCCTACCTTTGAATGCCCATGGATACCAGGAATACCAATCAGACAATCAAGCAACCACAGGTGTACTGAAATCACTAGAAAAACAACCAACTTGTTGGTTTCACTAACCATATCATGACTTTTCACTATTGCTTTCTGTGAATCCCTTAGCTGTAGCCTTGTCCAATCTGTTTCAAACTGGATTCCGTTCAATTCTCTTGCAGGAGAAATCTACATCAAGACATCTTACATGGCAGAAAAATGGAAAAAAGATGTTGTATTTCCCATTAAAAAAATAATTAAAAAAATAAGAGGGAAGAGACAAGAATTTTAATTTTTTTCACTGAAAGACAAGGCTAATCTGACTCAATCCTGTTAAACCCTGAAGCACCCCTCAAAAGTCCAAAATTTGGGGGTGGATACCCCTTCTCTTTCCCCACCAAACTTTCTTCCTTTTCTAAAGCCCACAAGCAGATATGTTGCCTGTTTACCTCCTCAGATATTCCCAGAACCACTTCACCTCTAATTTGGGGGTGGTTAAGCCCCAATCTATTTCATTCTGCTCCTTATACTTTGTTCCTTATTTCTCCAGATCAGTCATCTACCTCTTACCATTCCCTGAGCTACATGAAGAAATAAGATGTCAGAACCTCTCACAAATAATTGATGAATCAAAATAAAATCAAAATAAAAAAATCCTTAAATAAGATAAAAGTACAAAAACAATTCCTTTTCATATACAAACCATAGATTTTTTATTTCTTTTTCTTTTTTTGGGCACTATATCTTATAAACCATAAATTTCCACAGTTATGACCAGTTTCTTTTTCTAGAATATATCTTTCACTTATCAT